AAATGTTTAAAAACATAGCAAGTTCACGGCACAGAAACCCAAGAAATACCACTTCAAATGATCAAAGTGAGTGTCAATTTTCATGGACAGACTGATCTGATTTTTTTTCCTTCTGGGTCACGCCTGGCAATGCACAGGGGTTACTCCTGGCTCATGCACTCAGGAATTACTCCTGGTGGTGCTCAGGGGACCATATGGGATGCTGGGAATCGAACCCAGGTTGGCTGCATGCAAGGCAAATGTCCTACCCACTGTGCTATCACTCCAGCCCCGTGATCTGTGATTTTAAGATGAGACTGTATTTCTGTTTTAAAAGAAACACCCTCAATATAATCATGAAGAAACACCAACAAAACCAGAGACACGCCTGGAAATAGCTAGTCTGTACTATTAAAAAAATAGCAAGATCATAAAAAGCAAAGACAAATTAATCAGGGTAAAGGTAACCAAAAAACATAACAATCAATTGAAATCTTAGCATGCACCCTGGAGAAGTTTTCTTTGTTATAAGTGACATTATGACATTATCAGTGGAATGATTTGAACTGTCTATAGGTTAGTTAATAGTACTACTGGGATTTCAATTTCCTGACTGATTATGGGCTGGAGCGAGAGCACCGTGAGTAGGGCGTTTGCCTTGCATATAGCATGTGACCGGAGTTTGATTCCTCCGCCTTCCATTCCTCCGCCCCTCTTGGAGAACAGGCAAGCTACAGAGAGTATCTCACCCGCATGGCAAAGCCTTGCAGGCTACTCATGAGGTATTTGATATGCCAAACACAGTAACAACAAGTCTCACAATGTTACTGGGCCAGCTCGAGCAAATTGATGAACAATGGGAGGACAGTGACAGTGACTGATTATGGGAAGTAGTTATGTAAAGTGTATCTATTCATGGATTTAGAGATAAGGGAGCAATATTTCTACAACACTGTCTCAAGGAAAAGAAAACCCACAAGGTAGAGAAAGATCAAAAATGAGAGAAAGTAAGAGAAAATGTCAGCAGATATCTGCATCTGAGAGAATTTGGAGAGGCTCTTTTTTGTGTTCTATTTTTGCAAAAATTCTGTTACTCTTTTATCATTTCAAAGTTTAAAAATGACTTCTAAATCGATCTGAATTGCCAATGAAACAAAAGATGAGTTTTCCAGACAAGGAAATCCCTGAGAGCAATCAGCAAGAATCGCGAAAGCTTGTTTGAAAGCTGAAGTGTGCTGCAGATAGGAAAGCAGACTGGAGCAGCAGAGTTAATGACAAATTTCTCTTTGGTTTTGGTGGATTTTAGAGATCTGGCAGACATCCATTGGCTGGGACCATAGAATATTAAAACCTAGAAAGTGAATTCAGGAGAATCATGTTAGAGAAGCTACCATGAAAATAGATTCCTCTACAGAGATTCTGTGATTTTCTTTACAGTTTGGCTCCAATGTGTGGAAGAACATTTTCATGAATGGTTTACAGTCAAAAACTGAAAATGAATGGAAAGAGTTTGAGGGGAAAGCCTGGGCAAGAAAGAAATGATGTTAAGGTGCGGTTACCTTAAGTTAACAAAAATTTGTACATTGTTGAGAGGAAGTTCACACTGATGATAGGATTGATGTTAGAACATTGTATACCTGAAATTTTATTATGAACAATGTTTTAGGTCATGGTGACTTAATAAAAAAATAACAAAATAATTGTGCATGCCTCAAAATAATAACACAGAAACATAATACCTAGGAATAAGAGAGATCTTATATTTTCAAGGGTTCATGATTACATTATAGTTTGAATACTTTATTTTGTTAATTTTTAAATACTTCACTCTTTCTCTAAGGAGTCCTATATTTTATTAACCTGTTCAAATATTATCTCACTGAAGGGACCAGAAAAGTAGTACAGCAAGCAGGACCCTTGCCTTGCAAGTGACCAATCTGGATTCTATCCCCAGCACCCCATGTGGTCCCCGAGCTCTACTAGTACTGATCCCTTAGCACAGAGCCTGGAATAAGTTCTCAGCACCACTATGGGTGGCCAAAATGCAAAAATAAATAAATGAATAATCTCACTCAAAGTAGATTTAAAAATATATATATTTCACACATTGTGGTTTACAATACTGTTAATGATAGGATTTTATGCACAACACATAAACACAACACATAAAACAACACATAACACCACAAACTTCTTCAGTGTTCACGTCCCTCCACCACTATCCCTGTGTCTGCCCCTCACTAGAATCCCAGTTTTCCCTCCTCTGTGCTAGCTTCCTATAGAATACAAGTTTCTGTTGCTTTCGGGTGTTTGTTGTATCCCTACTATGTTTCTTTATATCCCCCATACGGGATAGTTCATTCTTTGTCTTTCCCTCTTCTGATGGACTTCTGAAAGTGAATTCTTATCAGTTATTGTCTTAGTTATTATATCTAAATTTAGTTATCTAATTTAGTTATCCAAATGATATCTAATTTAGATAAATTGTTATCATCTAGTTATCTAGTTATCTACTTGTTCCTTTCCCCTTCTCTGTATTTTTTCTTGTATGCAACTAAGCAATAATAAATGGAGAACAAATATAAACAATTAGAGAATAAAACAGCAATAAATCAGAAAATTAATGAAGTAGGCCCCTGATTATAAGCCTCCTCTTTTTTTTATTGAATCACCGAGAGATACAGTTACAATACTTTCATATTTGAGTTTCAGTCATACAATGACAAAACAATCCCTCCACCAGTGCACATTTTCCACCACCAATGTCCCCAGTATCCCCACCCCTTTCCCAACGCTCCCCCTGCTTCTATGGCAGACACTTTCCTCCATAATCTCTCTATTTGGGGGCAGCCTCCTCTCTTTTATTTTTTAGTTTATTATTTTTTAATGTAGGTTTACTGCTATTTATTCAGCCATTGATTAAGGTGATTGAATTAGGCATGAAATCTACATTACATTTTTAAAGTTTTTAATTGAATATCCATGATAGACCATTACAAAGCTGTTCATAATTCGGTTTCCGTCATAAAATGGTCCAGCACCCCTTCCTCCACCAGTGTACATTTTCTACCACCAATGTCCCCCGTTTCCCCACCACCACCCCCCACACCCTATCCCCCAATCCCAGCCTCCCTCTATGGAGGCACTTTCCTTCTTGCTCTCTCTTTCCTTTTCCTTTTGTGCATTATGGTTTGCAATACAGGTGCTAAGAGATCATGGTGTTTGTTCAGGGCATTCAGTATTTTTATTGGGATGGTGAGGCAGGAGTAGCTTTTCAATTGAGTGGCCACTTAGGGTGTGGATATGACTGCCTCACCTCCCGGAAATACAGGGAGGTGGGGGGAGGTAACCCATCCCGACCCCCAGAAAGCCTAGAGATTTCAGTCACAAAACCTGCATACTCGAATTTTCAGCAGTTTACATCTTGATGAGGTCCATCCTGAGACAGTGGAGTCAGGCCGGGGGTATGGTGGTGATTTTGGATTGTGGAAGAAAGCAGCTGCTGGGGGTTCTGCTTGGGTAGGCCTTTGGCCAACTCCCCCTCTGATTTACCCCAGTCTGTTCAGTCATGTGCGGGTCTGTGATTAACTGCGGCTTTTAATCTCTTTTGAGATTTATTTATGGGTCCCTAAAGTAAGGTCAGTAGGAGAGCTTTCATGAAAGGTGCTGGAGTTGGTTCGTGGAAATGACTTCCAGTGCTTCCAGGAGTATTGCAAAGTGGGGGGAGGTAGCCCATCCCAACTACAAGAAAGCCTGGAGATTTCAGTCACAAAGTCCTTGTACCAGAATTTTCAGCATATTATATCTTGGTGAGGTCTGTCCTGAGACAGTGGAGTCAGGCCAGGTGTACAGCAGCAATTTTTGATTATGAAAGCAAGTGGCTGCCGGGGGCTTGGTTTGGGCAGGCCCTTAGCCAACACACCCTCGTCTGATTTACCCAGGTCTGTTCAGTCATGTGTGTGACCGAGATTAATTGCACTTTTGACTTCTTTTGAGATTTATGGGTTTCTGAAATAAGGTCATAAATGAGTTTGTATAGCTAAGCTGGAGTTGATTTGTGGGTGTGGCTCCCACATACCTAAATTTTGGCCATTTAATTTCTTGATAAATTTGGCCCCAAGCTGTTGGGGTATGACCAAAGGCACAGTGGCAGTTTTGGGGTATCAGGAAGCCTGAAGGCACCATCAGGCTGCTGATGCACTTGCCCCACAGGTGCAGGATGACCTGCTGGCGGCACCATACCCCTGAGCTTCCTCTTTTTATAACAAGAGAAACAAAAAATAAATAAATAAAATTGACTTACTCTGAACCTCCTCACATTCCTAACTGTAGCAGGAATGTTATTATATATGTATGCCAAATCCATGATATGGAAGGTCAGTGCATGCTGCACTTCTTCAGAACCAAACTTTCCCATTTCCTTCTAGTCTGTAATAATGGGAATGGCAATTGATACAGAGAAACTGGCTTCCTTTTTTTATTTTCAAGAATTTTTGGCACTTTCAATTTAACCAATGTTTCTTGACCATATTATGGACCATTTTAGGAATTAGTCAGAATCAGCATTACCACAAATCAGAATCAATCTTTTTTTACCTGTGTACTAGCACCTGTCCTGAGAAGCAACCCACAGACCAGCAGTTATAACCAGGATGGTACACCGGTTGTTTTTCAACTTCTTACACTTATGCACCAGCACTGGTCTGTGACCTGTTTGTTGAAAACCACTGATCTGAATGCTGGAGATACAAAACTGAAACCATCTGAAAGTCCCCCATTGAGAAAATAAATGCAAACGTAAAATACACACTGTGAAATGTACTTTAATGAAAGAATATTTGGCATACTTAAGCTTTGGAAAGGCTTCTCAAAATAGAGAGATCTCGTACTGGCAAGTAAGTCCAATTTTGTTCCTGTATACTTGTCAATTAACTTTAAAACCATGTAAGAATATTACTGAATCAATGCCACTATATACTGTATGATTCTAATGATCAGTAAATACATTAAAAAATATTTACCTTCACTTTTATTTGATATACTTGTCTGCTTAAGTAACCTCTCCACCATCTCTGAATAATTGTTACCATTTTGTGTAAATATCTGTGTGAGAAACATGCATATTAGTATGTTTTACTTGAAATAAGGAATAGTTTCCTTCTTGACATCTAACCCAAAACACACACACAAAAAACCCATTAATTTAAAAGGATATATGCACACCTATGTTTGTTGCCACACTTATTACAATAGCCACGATATGGAAACAACCCAAATGCTCAACTAAAGATGAGTGACACAGAAATTGTCAGTCAGACAGACAGACAGACACACACACACACAATGAAATACATGCAGCTCTAAGAAAGAACAAAATCATGCAATTTGTAGCAACATGGTGGAACTATAGAATATCATGCTCAGTGAAGTCATTCAGAAGAAAGGGGCTGAAACATGCATAGCGAGGCAGGGACAAAGAGCCAAAGGTAACATAATGGAAGAACTGATCCATACAATTAATTTGGGGGAGCAGGGGGTTTAGGGGAACAGGTTTAGGAAGGGGAGAGGGTTGCATTGGTAATGGGTGTGGTGTCAGAAATATGTGCATGAGAAAATTAATAGCACTGTAACTCACAGAATCTAAAAGAAGAAAACCATTTTTAATGAAATAAGGATGGTTGCTTAAATTTCTGGTTGGAATAGACCTTTCCATAATTCCAGAAATCAAATTCAAAGCCAAGTTTCTATGAACTTTGACATTCTATTATATAATTAATCATTCCTAGAGGCAAATACATAAATTAATTTAAAAACACGAGGTTTTTCTATACTATGTTTACTTTATATTATAACTTCAATATTCCCTTGGGGTTTAGGATTAAACATTTTTAAAATGACAGTTACTTTTCCAAAATATTTCTGGTGGTCAGGGATACAGCACAGGGATTAAGGGCACATGCACACAACCATGGTTTGATTTCTGGGAACACATGCCCCAAAATATAACCATATAACCAAGAGCACTGCTGGAGCAATCCTTGTGATTCTCAAAATTACTGGGTTATCACAACATTGCACCATGGAGCCCTTGCAATGAAGTATAGGAGAGTTGGCTGAGCATCATAGAAAGTGAGCCCAGGGACTCCAGAGCATGGCTTGAGAGACCCATGCAACACCAAATGCATATTTTTTAAACTTTTTTTTTGCTTTTTGGGGTCACACGTGGCGATGCACAGGGGTTAGTCCTGGCTCTGCACTCAGGAGTTACTCCTGGCAGTGCTCAGGGGACCATATGGGATGCTGGGAATCAAACCCGGGTCAGTCACGTACAAGGCAAACGCCCTACCCGCTGTGCTATCTCTCCAGCCCCCAAATGCATATATTTTTAATGTTAAGAGAATAAAGTTGGTCAAGATGACACGCTGAGGGATAAGCTGGCCTATCCAAACATGTCATTGTAATTGCAAATGATTGAGGCCAATCATTTAAGTTTTCATACTTATATATCTCAGTTTGACAATGTGGCTTATAATAAATACATTCCTATCCTTGTTTGAGCACACAGCTCCTAAAACCCTTGCAATTTCCTTGGAGATCAAGAAAGGCATCTTCTCTTATGCTAATAAAGAGACTCAGGACAGTACTTAGGAATTTGCTAGTGGGGTGATCAAGTGGAATTCGAAGTTATAGTCTCACCCCAGACTTATAGGGAAAGAAAGGGGCTGGAGTCAGAGCTCTAGGTATATCAAGTCAATCTTGCCTACGTGATGAAGCTCCGTGGAAAACAAAAAGGAAGGGTTCTGGATTGGGGAGCACAGGGAACTATGGAGAGAATAGCTGACCAGAGAGTATGGTACCCATTCTCCTTCCCTCTCACCTGGTCCTATCCATCTGGATGCCCCTTTGAATGAACTACCATGTTCTTTACCATTACATAATAGATTTTTAATAACCATTGAATATCAGCAATTTTTAATAGTTCAACCTAATAGAATCTGAGAGAGAGAAAAATGATATCCAGATTGTCCCAGCTTTTAAAAAAACTGACTATCCCAGGAATGAATTTTTTTTTTAATAGTGAGACATCATGAGATACAGTTGCAGACTTACACATTTTTGTGCTTGTCACCCATTGCCTCTTTTGCAAACCACAACACCCAATAAGAGTTAGAGAACAAAAGGGAATGCCCTGCCACAGAGGCAGGGTGGGATGGGAGGGATGGGGGGTGGGAGGGATACTGGGATACATAATAGATTTTTAATGGGTGAAGTGAACTGTTTCTCAGCATTCCATGATCCTCTCTAGTGACTTAGTTGGACACGAGAAAAGGGTAATATGGTACCTTCAATTTGAAGTGGACTGGGTAGAATGTAAGAATGTGTATGATTGCAGAGGGTGGAGTCGGTTGTGAGGGACCTGGGAAACCCAAGAACCTCCCCAGCTGGACTATAAGATTTCCACTGGTGTCCAGAAACTTCTCAGTGATGGTAATTGTTGGGAAATCATGAGGAAACTCCATCATTATGTTTCTCCCATCACAATTTGGGGATCAGGACAAAGAGGACTCTGTCTTCCCAAGCTGAAATCATGCAGAACTACGACACTCTGCAACTATGCTTCTAGAAGAGAAGTTTTATCATTGTACTTGAATTCCCTTATACTGCTGAGTTCTTCCCGATCTGCAGACACTCCCAGGCTCTTCTAGCTCAGCTTGGGGTTATCATTGCACGCTACCTGTAGTCTTCCTCCACCTCCTCCAGAGAAGCTGTTTTTAACATTGAAAGAGTCTCAAAGAAGCTTGAGGGGAAAATGGGGACAGTCAAATCTAGCCTCTGTAACCAAATGGCATGTTCTAACACCTCTTGCTTCAAACTACCAATAAGTGGAAGAGGCTTGTAATTGCTTCCTTTGCATTTGGTTCTTTTGCCTTTCCCTTCTTCAAAGTCTTCCTTCACTTCAATTACAAGCCCAGGCACTTGACCCCTCCTAGAGAATTTGAAGGCAAGAGTTGGATCAAGGACAGAGAACTTTTCAAAATAGAGAAAAACGGTAAACATAATTTAGTTTTATCATAGAAGACAAGATGATTCAACAGTTTTATCTCTAAAAAAAGGATATCACATAATTTGTTAACTTTACAAGTAACAGATTCTATGAAATGAGAACTACATGAATAAATTTCACACTTAAGGAGATGTGTGTCTTTTGATGATAGGTAACACAACCAAGTCAGTGTACCTGATATATGCACGAACTCGACATCCTTTGAACCAACTCTGAATTGTAACTGCTGCATCATTTTCCTTTTTCCTAAATCCATCCACAACACTAAAAAAATAAATAAAATTAAAATTTTAATGTTTTTCATTAGGAACTAATGTATTTCTAAAGTTAATAAAACTGTTCAACTTAATCTTTAGTTTCTTCTTAAATGATAATTTTAATTCAAATGTCACTTTAAGTGAAATTAAAATAATAAAGAACACAATTCCAAAATCATGAGCTACTTTATGAGTTTTAAAAATTAACCTTTCACGAAGGGGCCATGTGCTTTCAACAGCTTTTTTAAAATTCTCATAATCACCTATTTTGCAACTAATTAATTTGCCCTCTAATTATTAGACAGATTTTTTTAAAAAAAAGCAATGTACTCATTTGTCATTATTTTGAAAACATAATTATTTAAATTACTGGTTAAATTGCACTGCACTTACCATGCAAGATTAAAATGCTTGATGATGTCACTCAAGACATCATTTAAATGAATTTGCCTATAGAGTAACATGAATCCAACACTGAATACCTGTTGTCAGTGAAGTCTCAGAAGGTCAATTAAAGGTGGCAGGGGTCCAAAGGTATCTACAAAGATGAAATACCAGTGACCAAGCAAGTGGAAGTAGAGATAAACAAATGGGACTATCTGAAACTAAGAAGCCTCTTCACCTCAAAAGAAATAGTGACAAGGATACAAAGACAGCCTACGGAATGGGAAAAGATATTCACTTAATACTTTTTTGATAAGGGGTTAATAAGGATAAACAAGGCACTGGCTGAATGCTACAAAAAAAAAATGTAATCCCATCAGAAAATGGGGCAATGAAATTAACAGAAACTTTCTCAAAGAAGAAATTTTAATGGTCAATTTACACAATGGAGTACTATGTAGCTGTTAGAAAAGATGAAGTTATGAAATTTACATACAAGTGGTACTACACGGAAAGTATCATGTTAAGCAAAATGAGTCAGAAAGAGCGGGATAGACACAGAAAGATTGCATTCATCTGGGGAACATAAAGCAACAAAATGGGAGACTAACACCCAGGAATGGCTGAGATCAGTACCAGGAATTTTGCTTCATGACTTGAAGGCCAGCCACACGTGCTAGGTGAAAAGGAAGCTCAGATAGAGAAGAGAGCACCAAATAAAGGGTGTTGTGAGGACCCTCCCAGGGTGGGAGAAGCATGCTAAAAGTAGTCTATAGACCAAACATGATTGCCACTCAATGCCTCTCTTGCAAAACACAGTACCCAAAAGAAGAGAGAGAGAACAAGGGGGAATGCCCTGCCACAGAGGCAGGGTGGGATGGGGGGGGATGGGGGTGGGAGGGATGCTGGGACCTGTGGTGGTGGAGGATGGGCACTGGTGGAGGGATGGGTACTTGATCATTGTATAACTGAAACCCAAGCACAAAAATTTATAAGTTTATAACTGTACCTCATGGTGTTTCACTAATAAAAAAATAAAAATAAAAAGGCACATAAAAATGCTCTTCATCACTAGTTATCAGGGAGATGCAGATAAAAACAACAATGAGATATCATCTCACATCACAGAGACTAGCACACATCCAAAAGAACAAAAGCAACTGGTGTTGGCGTGGAGTGGGGAGAAAGAGACTCTTCATTGTTGGTGGGAAAGCCAACTACTCCAGCCATTTTGGAAAACGATATGAACGTTTCTCAAAAAACTAGAAATTGAGCTCCCATTTGACCCAGCAATACCACTTCTGGGAATATATCCTGAGGGTGCAAAAAAGCACAGGAGAAATGACATCTGCACCTGAATGTTTTGTAGCACTATTCACAATAGCCAGAATCTGGAAACAACCTGAGTGCCTGAGAACATACGACTGGTTAAAGAAATTCTGGTACATCTATACAATGGAATACTATGCAGTTATTAGAAAAGATGAAGTCATGAAATTTGCTTATAAGTGGATGGTCATGGAGAGTATCATGCTAAGAGAAATAAGTCAGAAAGAGAGGGAAATACATAGAATGACTGCATTCATTTGTGAAAAATATTATAACATGAGAGTAACACCCAAGGCTGGTAGGGACAAGGGTCAAGAAAATTGTTCCATGGTTGGAAGCCTATCTTATGAGCTGGAGGAGAAAACAGCTGGAATAGAGAAGGGATCACAAAGTCAAGGATGGTTGGAGGGATTGCTTGGGATGGCAGATGATTTCTGAAAGTTGATAAAGGACCAAACATGATAGTCTCTCAGTCTCTGTACTGCAAACCATAACACCCATAAGTAGAGAGCGAGTAAGGAGGAAATTGTCTGCCATAGAGTCAGGGAGAGGGGTAGAGTAGGGATACTGGGGACATTGGTGGTGGAAATTGTACACTGGTGAAAGAATGGATGTTCAATCATTGTATGACTGAAACTCAACACATAAGTTTTGTAACTGTAGCTCACAGTGATTCAGTTAAATATAAATAAAGGTGACACGGAATAGGGACATAGGCTTATAAATATAAAAAACTCAATCCTGAGATTTTACTTAGTTACAGCAGGAAAAGGTTAAAACAAGACAGTTCTAAATCATTATTTTATTAGTCATCCAATTTTTATTCCTCATCCTCATATGATAAACTTACAATTCTTAGATTAACTACACATTAAAATGTTGAGTAGCACATAAGTAACATTTCATGTTTGCTCAATAAATGGCGAGTAATATATTTCTTACTTTGTTTATTTGTTTGACGGCCACTCTCACAGGTGTTGCTGGCAGCTCCTGGCTTATGCTCAAAAATCATGCCCACCAGTGTTCAAGATACCATGCAGGAGTGGCTGAACCTTGGCTGTTGCAAGCAAAGTGTGTGCTCCAGTCCTCTGAGGCTACACCTCTCACTTACTACTTAAAAGCATCAGAATTGTGTTCTCATGAAAGATTTTTCTGTTCTCTTCTTCATATTGTACATATTTGATTACGTGTACATTAAGTGTACATATTTGATTAAATTTATATAATCAGAGAAAATAAATAAAAAATTGGAAATTTACTTCCAATAAAATTCTCATACAGTATCATAAAGTGGGTTAAGGAAAAAAAAGGATTAGCAATGAAGCTACTGGGAACAGAGAAGCAAGAGGATGGTGGCAAGAAAGACTAGCTACAAGCCTGGCTGAAAAGGAGCTTCAGAAACAAGTGTTACATCTGAATCTGGGTCTGTGATGTGAGCAAGCCCCAGGGAGCATGGGTGAGGTCAGGGCAGAGGAAAAGCAATGGAAATGGAAACACTTGCACCACGCAGCCCAGAATGTAGGCTGGTAGGAATGCAGTACTATGTCTCCTCCAAGACATCGGGGGCTCGTCTTCACATCTGAGAGAAAGATGCTGTGGCAGATTGAGGTAAAAGGGTATGTCAAACGCTACATCTCAGGATGTTTCTGAGCCAGATTTAAACTTGTGTAGTTTTGCTCTGGAGGGCAGACAACAGAAACTGGGAAACTGATTTGTTCTCTATGTTACTAGGCCCTCAGCTTTTGAAGAATATAAACTTGCAGAATACCTTGTTTTCCAGACACTGTCTTCTACTCAACTCATTCTCCGGCCTATTGTGCTGTTGGATTTTTTTTTAAACATGAATCTAATCATGTCACTTTTTTCTTAAAGTCTCAAGCCTGAGGCTGCAGAGATAGTATGAGGGGTTAAGGCACTTGCATTGCACATTGTGGTCCCTGATTCCACCCCAGCTCTGTTATGATCCCTAGACATACCAGGAGTGATTTCTGAGAAGAGAGCCAGGGGTAAGCCTTGGCTTACTCTGGGTATGTACCTCGGGGTATGCACCACCCTAAATTTTTAGCACTGTAGCACTGACCTCCCGTTGTTCATCGATTTGCTCGAACAGGCCCAGTAATGGCTCCATTGTGAGATTTGCTGTTACTGTGTTTGGCATATTGAATACATCACGGGTAGCTTGCCAGGCTTTGCTGTGTGGGTGAGATATGCTTGGTAGCTTGCCGGGCTCTCCGAGAAGGGCGGAGGAATTGAACCCGGCTCAGCTGGGTCGTAGCATGCAGGGCAAATGCCCTACCACTGTGCTATTGCTCCAGCCCTAAATAAATTTAAAAATAACCCCTAGGGGAAAAGGCAGCTCAGATAGAGAAGGGAGCACCAAATTAAGGGTGTTGGGAGAATCCTCCTAGGATGGGAGATGCATGCTGAAAGTAGACTATAGACCAAACATGATTGCCACTCAATGCCTCTTTTGCAAACCACAGCACCCAAAAGGAGAGAGAGAACAAAAGGGAATGCCCTGTCACAGAGGCAGGGTGGGATGGGGGGTATGGGGGGTGGGAGGGATACTGGGACCCATGGTGGTGGAAAATGGGCACTGGTGGAGGGATGGGTACTCGATCATTGTATAACTGAAACCCAAGCACAAAAATTTGTATGTATACAACTGTACCTCATGGTGTTTCACTAATAAAATTTTTTTAAAAAGCCATTTCAAGCCAATCCCAACTCTTCTCTATGAAGACACTAAGACCTGTAAAATTTAGACCTAGTCAACACAGTACCTCCATGCTCCATCCCTGAGGGTGCCCCCTTCTGCCCACAGTTCCAAGAAGAGTCCTATACTCTCTGGCAAACAGAACATCACAAGTCACCATTTTCTGAGTATTTTTTTTCCAATGACAGTGCACTAAAAATAATAAGTAACACACAATGATTTACAGTTGACATTGTAAAAAAAAATTTAAGCACATGCCATGTATCAATACTTGAACTCCTGTCAAATCCAAAAGGCGCTGCCTCTAGTCTGGGGTAAGTATGAACAGAAGGTGAGTAACAGCACATAACCAAAAGGTTCTCACCATGGGGGCCAATAGATAGGTAGAAGCGAGTAGAGCACTTGCTCATGTGCAGCTAACCCAGGTTCAATTCCTGTCACCCCATATGGTCTTGAGTCTGTCAGAAGTGATTCCTAAGTGAAGAATCAAGAACAAGCCCTGAGATTTACTGGATCACACCTCCCCCACCACCCATCAAAGAAAGAAAGATAAAAAGAAAGCCATGGAAACAGGTTTA